TTGGGAATGAATTACAGTTTCCTAAGCATTCATGCACTTCATCCTCCTGAAACAAGACCTGTTGTGACCCTACATACTTAAAGTGAATTTTCCATGATAGCCATAAAGTAAAGCTGAAGATGTTTCTGATTGCCAATCGGTACAGTCTCTAACAGTTCATTTCAAGAACTAATCCTAGGCAGATTCAGTTATGGTGTGGTCACAGTGTTTCAAAATATATGTACAGTATGTATAAAAAAGACAATGGAAAAACCAGCAAAATTATTTTTGAGTGTGCCAGATTTGAACAAGCAGATTAAGAGATCATTATTTGCTATTTATTCTCTTTGCACTTTGCAGAAATATGTCTCTGTGATTTTATGTGGACATTATTTATTATAAAAATAAAATTTATTATGCAAATTTGAGTTTAATATAATTTGTTGTGAGATAAAATATGATAAATATTTAAAGAAGATTTATTACAAGGCTTTCTATAAAGTACAGAATGCATATTTATTTTGGACAAAGAAAACTAAGTCTCTATTTGAAGACGTGATTAAATGCATATATTATGATTATATTGTCATGCTAATTATCAATGGTAGGAACCAATTAGGACTAGAGCTGCCAAATCACCAGACTACATTGCGTATTCACTAGAGCACTTTTACTGCTCTACTGGTTTTTTGCCATAAACAGATAAAAGTGAAATTGCTTCCTTTARAAGTTCATATTGTTGTACATTTTGAGCCAGATCTTGTTAATTTGTGCTTTCGTAAACTYGCCTGCAAAAGTTACTAAAACTACTTTTGTGAGAAAGACAGACTGGCTATAGGAAATAGATATGGTTGCTTTAGCTAGCAATTAAAGAAAAAATACAAGATGCAAAAAATCTTTCGAGTGGCTATTGTTTGAATAAGCAAGGTGGGTAATCTGTCATTTGCAAAATGCTGGAAGTGAGTTTTTTATTGAGCCTGCTATGTCAATGACATGTATTTCTCAACATTACACACCTCATTTATCATTCTGGAATGAGGACCAAGTACCATATGAATGTAGAGTTTATGAAGGTATTGCCTCGCAGCCCTGGAGGCTGATGACCCCTCTTTATCTACACAGCAGGTAAGGCACAAACAGTGGCAATGTGAGCTCTCTTTGCAGTCCCCTGCCAGTGTGCCTGACTGCTAAGCTGGGGGAACAAAGGAAAGATAGCATATGGATAGCAGATTGTAGGAGAGCTGAAAGAGGACTGAGGAAATCTATGTTGGGTGTGTGGCTCTGCCAAAGATCTCTTGTATGACTTTGGCCTTGTCACTTAATCTCCTTCTGTCTCTGTTCCCCTCTGCAAACAGGGAGAAGGCGTCTTTGCTCTCCCCCAGGCTTTGCCTGGAAATCTGTTCAGACTCTGAGTTCTCTTGGACAGTATGCTTGTGAAGCATGGGGTGGAGTGAGACTGAGCTTCATTGGGTCCTCTAACTGCTGCTATCATCCAAATAATATGAATTACTATTAACAGCAGACTTACAAAGAAATCCATGTCTTTTATGATAGATTTTACTCATTTTTTCAGGCCATTCAATCTTTGGCCTCTGGGTGAAGGATAAGAACAAGGTGAGCAATTAGTGTCAGGAGCAGAGCTGTGAATTCTTCTTTTATAGGGTTCCAAATAATGCTGAAAACAGTGGCATTGGTGTTCTCTTTTTTCACCTGTCTCTTAAYGCCTTTTGAAGACATTTGTGCCAAAATAACATCACAATGTTTCTGTAATGAAAAAATGAAGTGCTGTGCAAAAGGTGATATTTTGCTTTGCTTTGGCCCTGGATATGGTTCTCCAAGAGATTCAGAAAAAGCCCTCAAAAAATGTAAAGGCTAGGGCAGGGGCTCTGTTTTCTATGTCTCTATTATGCACTGTGCATATTTATGGAGCATTATAAGAAATAAATAATAATGCACAAACACTGCGTTCTGTGCCCTTGTCTACCAATTGTGCCGATGCATTACATGATGTAGCTACTGTTAATGAAGCTAGGATTTGATTTTTAGCTTCACCTGAAATGTATGTCTGTTTTGCACCTGCAGTCTTGCAAATATAAATAATTTGATGTGTCATTTTTCAGACATACCCACTGGTTGGTATAACTGATGCCATTTGTGAACCAGATTTTTCAGAGGAGCCATAGAAATAGAATTTCAAAATTAGCTGGGTGCTCCTATATCTTTCCAAGTATATATCAGTGTATCTTCTCTCTAGATTAAGTGTTGCCTGTCTAGAGGACATTGTTTGCACCTACTGTTACGCAGATGTGCAAAAGAAAAATGGAGAAATAATGAAATCAGAAACCAAACCCAGGCACTATTTTTCACAAGTTGTAACGAGACAAATTGTATCATTTTTATTGCTCTTTTTTTTTGCAATAGGAAAACAAATATGAAGAACTCACTATCAGGGCTTGAAGTGCCATTTCCAAAACAACCAGTGAATTGCCTTTAGGTAGAGTTTGCAATGAAAATTGGTTTTATTCACATCAATGGGACAAAATAGGGCCAGGCACTTCTAGGGGTGAATGGCTGGGTAAGACAAGGTTTTCAACACCTATTCCAAAGACTTAGTCTGTGGAGACTGTCAAATAATGTAAAGCTGGAGCACAGTATCCCAATCTCTGTGCTCATAGGTAAAGCAGATGTCACCTAAAACCCTTAAGGACATAGAATTTTCTTAATGCTCTGCTTGTTGTGCAAGCCCATTGAAAGAACACTTCAGAGGGCACCCATTTCTTACTAATGTAAACTTTCTGAGGAGTATCCAAAGATATGACCTCTGGGTGAACCTTTAACCTTCCCCTTAATTATTTGTTTGAAGACAGTGTGGAGTTCTCCTGCTGAGAGCCAAGGCCCATAATGCTTCGCAGCCCTGTGAGCAGGGGTGTGTGTGCAGGGAAGTGGAGAGGGACATAAATAAGGGGACCACCAGATGTAAATAATAAAAGTGGTTGGGATTTAAATAAAAAAACGAAAGAGCAATTTGGTTTTCCTGAAGAGTGGCCTGGTTGAAGAAAAGGGGTTAGTAAGATGGAAAGTGTGTGCATGTGGGGGGGTTGTTTCTGTGATTTTTTACAGGCCTAAATAAGTGTTCATTCCATTCTTTAAAACCTTGCCATCTGTATACACCATTAGAAGCTCATAAGAGAAGAGAAAACAGTCTTATCAGGCTTTCCCGTTAATCTCTATTGGCCTTAACTTTAGCTGATAAAAGGCGTGCTGGATGGAGGAGGTTCAGGTCAAGCTCCATTGGGTCAGTGCAACAACCTTACTGGAAAGCAGCTCAACAAATAAGTCCTATCGGGGACCTCTGTCTCTGAGGACGGAAACACACTTCACAGTCACAGCACTGGGGTAGGAGATGCCTTCACTGTGCTACAGAAGGGAGTAAACAAGTATATTGACTGTGTCTGAGTTTTTATTTTAATATCTGAAGTCATGACTAATTCTGAGATAGGATGACATTTCTGACAACTGAATGATACTTTTCCTAAAAAATAAAGGATGTCTATTGGATGTAAACAGAGAGATGCAAAAGAGCACTTTAGTGTTACTTGTAGCATTTATGCATCTGCCTAATGAAATTTTCACGACTGTGATCACAGAAGGTGCAATCGAAGGTGTGCCATCGTCCTTTGTTATCTGCAAAGGAATTTAACCAGAGGGTGGGAGGGAGTGAGGGAAGGACGACAAAAGGCCTTGCGAAGTTGATGCTATATAAAGGCTAGCAATTTACTAAATGAGCAGATGAACTTAGTTTTCAGTTAACTGACTGAAAGACTTTGCTAGGCGTTGGATCGGGCCCAATGGCAATTATTGGAGGCTGTTTTGGATGATGGGCATGTTAGTATTTCTGAAGAGGATTAAACGCTAGTATTCGACTTCATTAGCACTCCTTAAGGGTCACCAGGCGAAAGCCTGAGCTGTGAAATAGCACACAAAACCTGCGCGAAGGCTCCAAAGTGTTCTCAAACACAAAGAGAAGGGACAAAAACAAGTGTGGCTCCCAAGTGATAGAAAATTGCCCTCTTTTCAAAGATATTCTGAGAGTAGGCGAGTTTGAAAATTATTTTAGGGAAATTAATTTAGCTTAACTTGTGCTGATGTGGATTGCTGCACATTAAGCTAATAAGAAAAATGCAAGCACTTATTTTTGGATTACCAGCAAAATTAAATCCAGGCTCTGCWGCCAACTAACTGCCTTTACCAGAGCTCAAAAGCCTCAGCAACCGCCCCAGTTTGAGATTAAAAAAAAGGTTATTTTGGGCCTAATATTAACCACATGTACCTGTGACTAGGGGTTTCTAACGAGTTGAAAGGTGCCTGAGTTGAGGGCAGGCAGGCGGTCGCCTTGTACGGGGTGTCCCCACTCGGACACAGAGGTGGCCCCCAGCTGGCACTGACCTCCAAACGACCCTCGCCTTTACAAGCTCCAACTGCAGGAGTTGTAGAAGAGCAGAAGTCTTTCTGGGCCGGCACTTATTGCTGCTGCGCTGGTGATAAAACTTCAGACAGCCTAATTGATGGCTTTGCTGACCTAACGATACCTTGTGAAAGCACAGAGTGGCAAAGCCTGGTCCTCATTTATGGCCAGCTGCAAGGGGAGCTGGATCCCTAAGATGGAAAGGGGAAAAGAAACCCTCCCAGCCTGTGAACTTTAACCAGAATCTGAGCCACTCAGAAGATGTTAAAGAAACAATTGTCTTTTAACACAAGTTTTCAGTCGCATTTACTTGTTCAAAGCCTTCTGGCAAATCCAGCTTTAAGCTGGCTAGTAAGATAAGCGTGTTACCAGTTACAATTTCTGAGCACTTAGAGGAAAATCCTTTAAAGTGAAATTATACTCTTTTAAAAAAGCAACGTGAAGCAAAACATATTTCCACAGCACGCTAAAATCCTGTCAGTTTTAAAGCAGAGGTGTTCTCAAAACAGAGAAGGAAGCTGATGAAAAGACTTCTATTCTTTGTATTCTGTTGCAG